AACTGGATACTTTTTTTACTTCTATATATAGAATAGATTCTGCATAAATCTCAAAAAGTCGAAATACCTCAAAAATCTAAAATCAATTTTGGGAACATGTATAATTTACATTAACGTTTTTCCAGAATCGAGCTCAATCTCTTTTGTATATGCTCTATACAACTTGGAACAAATTTTATCTATCGAAATACCTAGTGATACAGTAATTTAGCTTGTCACTTCAAATATTCAGGGGTTAATGTTTTATGAGTTTTTGATTTTATACTCTGTTCTTCCATATTAATATTTTATATGATTGTAAATTAATTCAAATTAGATATCAACTTTTTTGTAGCATAATCGTGTATTAACAAAAAAAAATAAGTCATACCATTTCAGAAAAAATGATTCATGTATATGTTATTACATATATTAAATTGACTCACATAAATACATAATTTAAAATATATATATTTCAAAATTGATTTTGAATTTTTGAGGTATTTTAACTTTTTGAGATTTATGCAGAATCTATTCTATATATAGAAGTAAAAAAGTATCCAGTTATGTGTATATTTAATTAAAGAATAAATCTGGATAGTTAAAAAATTTTGAGTTTTAAGTAAAATAATTTTGTTTTCTATAAAAAACTATTTTGACTTTTTTTTCCAAAATTACAATTTTGGGATCTCAAAATAATTTTGTATGCAAGTATAATCTAGAATATTATATTAGACGTGAGTCAGTTTTATTATATTATATAACATTTATTAGTGAACTAGATTCATTAAAGTTTCACAAAGTAAAGATACTTTGTGTCTAATATGTGTAGATTGAATGATAATCCAAATAATCGAGTCTTCAAAATTTAGCCTCAGTGATATAATAAGAGGACTTATACCTAAACAACTAATTGACCAAATAGCAGCAGTAACAGAATCAGATAGGAAAACAGCTAAAGAAAAAGTTCTCGAAATATACAAGATCACAATGAAGAAACTCTATAAATTATGGTTGAAAAGAAATAACCAAATTCAAAAAACACATGAGCAAAAAGAAATAAAAGGAAACTTAAGGAATTTCCAAATATAAGTACAAAAAATAAAGAAAAAAATAAAGAAACCTATAAAAAACAAAAAAAATCAAATAGAAAAATCCAAAGATCATATTCTAAATATAGCAATAGATTACCCATTACAGATAGATACCTCAATTTACAAGTTTATTTTTAATTTATTAAGAATAGATATTAGTGGAGCTGTAGCAGTTGAAACTTACTAATTGTAAAATCTAATTTTACACAGTGGTAGGTTAAGTGGTATCATTAGATTAGCTAATACAATTTCACCATATTTTTTTGTAATACTCATAGGAAACTGTAAGAGATTGTGCTGGTCTGCTAAAATAAATAAATAAATTTATTCACGTCTAAGTGTAGTCAAATTTTTATTAGGCACTGAGAAAAAAATCAATAATTAAAATTGTAGATATTATTTTTAACTACAATTTCGTATAAGATAGTTGACATCTATCTTTAATGCCCATCAAATGCGGTATAGGTAATGATCTAAGACCAAATTTATTATTTTTGTCAGTTTCATTTTAAGTGTAATATCTCTATGTATAGGTGTCCGATTTTATCACAAAATATATAATATGATAGCCCTAGTTTAGGAGAATCTAATAAAAAAAAGTTTGTACAATTTAGATCACTCATTGCGCCACAATTAGCATTTTAATTTTAGCAATTATTTTCGAATTTTATCATTCAACAAATACTTTTGCTGGGGGAGTGTATATTTTTTATTTATTTATACTTATATTTATATTTACATTTATTTCTTTACTCTAAATATATATTATATAAGGTATAGGTAATGCTATATTTTATTTCATAAATGAAAACCCGAGACGAAAAGATATAACAACTGACGATCTTAATACATCAAGTGGTACTCGTCTATCAACTAATGCTAAACAAATGAGCGGTGGAAAATATAATGAAGAAGAAACAGACGATTTTGATTCTATCAATGTCATTCCCCTGCAAGAATATTCTACTGCTTCATCATCAATTAACAAATTCAATAATAGTAAATAATGAAAATAAATTTACTGATCTAATTTTATAAAAGAACTAGCCATTATTTTTTTAAAGTTACTTGGGATATACACGTTGTGATTTGCTATTTAGATTTATGAAAAATATATCGGAATGTATTTTTTTATTTTTTTATATTACATTGTTATTATTTAATGAAATACATTTGGATGGCTAGTAATCTTTGATATTCAAGAACATAATAAATTCTGATCGTTCAAGACGAGATATCTAAATATCATTCCAGTTTGGACATCTACTAAGAGCAACATATGCTCGTCCAGATGAAAAAATATTTCCATATAATACAAGACATATTTTGATAAAGTGAGACTCTGTTTTGTGCACAGTTGAGACAAAGTAATTTGTGTAGGAAATTAAGTTTGCATTCATCAATTTCAAAATATTATTGATCCTTTGACTGAAAATGCTACTCTGATAGATAGGGCCAATATTTGTAATGATTCCCATTGTTCCACTAAAAATTCTGTGCTCTATTAAAAAAATTGTCGAGGTATATAACACTTGCACCAGTTGTAAATGGATAGAAGAAGACTAATTTGTTTTTAATTTAAAGAATTGTTTTGAATCATAAACATCCCATAATTTAGAACCTATAGAATTTGATACTCTTGAAATTAAAAATTTGTTATTTGGAACAGGTAATAAGTTACAAATCATTCTATTAATTTGTCATGAAAATCTACAATATGTATTGTTTTGAATAATGAATCAATAGTAAGATGTGTCAAAAGTCAGAAGAACATGTAATAAATTCCATGTTTAAGTAAAATATTATTAAATCAAATTTCTTCTAATATGTTATATCATTATTTTGATGTTGATTCGTTCTAAGAAATAAAGGATAAATAATTGCCAAATATATATTTTGAATACAGGTTTTTTCAAAAAGGAATTCCGATTTTATAATGTAGAATGCAATAAGGTGATCAATTTTAACTAGCCTATGAAATAGGAATTTGATTTTTAGCTGATCTATAAAATAAGAATCACTATTTGCTACAGTGATTCTTTTGGGGTCAGGGATATCGATTTCTGGGATATGATTATTTAAAAACAAACCAAGAAAATCTTGCCAAAAAAGAGTATACTGGGAATTTTCTCTAAAACCCGAAATAGATCTGTTTTGTATTCGATTATAACTAACTAAATTAGACTAAAATCTAGATATTTATTGTTATAATGAATAAATCATTTACGTTAATATGAAATCATTAATCATTTACGTCAATATGAATGAAAAAAAAATATATTAATAAACCGATAATTTTGATTCTTTCCCAACGAAATCAAAATGCCACTTATCGAAGTAAAAACAAATGTCAAGGTATACTTATTATATTTTTTTTATTAACAAATTGTTTCTTTTCAGCAAAATGAGAAATCGTATTTTACTTATACATTAATAAATAAAAAGGTCGTAAACCATCATGAATTCCTTTCGGAACTAAGTACTCTAGCCGCAGATGTTCTTGATAAATCTTTATCTTATATTAATACCATTCTTGAAGACAATAAACCTCTTTATTTTGGTGGCACCGATGCTCCTGCTTTTACTGTTAGAGTCAAAAGTTTAAGTTCACTTGGTTCAGAACGTAATAAAGAAATATCAAAAAAACTATCAGAATTTCTTTATAAAAAATTGGGAACACCAAATGATAGAGGTTATATCTTTTTTGTAAATCCGGGAAGAGAGAATGTTGGATGGAAAGGCACCACTTTTGCAGATGATATAGTTTAATTGATTTGTTAATTTATTTTATTGAATACTGTATTTATTTTTATAACTTATATAAATTTTTTTTTTTTTGGTTTCATAATGAACTTTGAAAATAAAAATTCCCGATTTTGAAAAAAATGAAAAAAATAAATAAAATTATAAATTGATTTAAATACATATATTGATAAATTTTCTAATTGTTTTATGCTTTTATACAAAGGAATTATTTAGAAATTTTCTGTAAGTTTTATTAAGGAAGAGAGAAAATAGAGAGAGAAATGATGAGAGACGATATAAAATTTTAATTATAAACAAAAGAAAATGATATAAAATTTATACAAACCTTTTCCATAGAAAAATCTGGTACCATCTTCAAATCCTTGACTCCACAGATTACATTTTTCGTGAAGACTTTTACCTAAAGGTTTTGGACCACAAAAGAACACTCCCACATCTGTTGCAGGATATTGATCTCTCATATTAGAGAATATTTTATCCCAATTTGGACGACCAAAATGTGTTGGTGCTCTTAAGCCTGTGATGGTATCTTTAACATTACCATCATCATTTACTAATATGTTTTTTACTTCGGAATGACGTAGACGACCAGTTAGATATGTATGGATTTCAATAAATTGATCAATATCTTGCTCTTCAATGGCTAATAATAAAGATTGAAACCATTCGAATGACTATTATAAAAGTAATTCATAATGGTATTATTATTATTATTATTATTATTGCAGAATTAATAAAATGAAATTGTTGATAGAATTAATAAAAACTTACTTCATAGTCTCGGCAAATCCAGAAGAAATAGGCCTTGCGAAGTTTGGTAGACTTTGTTGGATAATTTACGCGATACCTATCAAAATATCATATATTTAAAATAGATTAATATTTGAGATAGTTTTTCAAAAATATATATATATATATATATGTGTGTATAAATAAATTATAAATACCAAATACTCTTCAAAATACTTGCGAATGGTGTAACTCCAATACCTGCACCAACCAACATTGCCACTTCAAATTTAAAAACATCTTCCGACGCGCTACCAAATGGTCCATCAATCATAACTCGAGGAAGAATTTTTTGTAATTGTGGATTATTGGTTGATATGTCAATACCATCATATTGACTTTTTATGCGACCTTTATTATCTTTTTCTTTATTTTCTTTATTTTCTTTACGTAATTTTTTTTCATTATCAAAATCACATCCAAGTTTCTTAGCAAGTGCTTCTGTGAAATCACCAACAACACGAATATGTACAGAGATAAAATCTTCTTCAGGTGCAGAAGTTAAAGTAAATGGATGCCATTCCCAATATGATACTTCAGGACAACATAAAAAGATATATTGTCCTGCCTTGGTGGTAGTGTGTTCTTTTTTAATTTGAATTTCAACTACTCGTGATGGATGCATAACAACTTTTGAAATGTAAGTTTTGTGACGTGCTCTTATTTCACGGAGAATACGTTCACCAGTATAAATTACACCTGAAGCAATCCAATATTTCCAAAATACTGCAATATCTTTGCAATAAGGTGCTCTATCTGGTTTAATCATACAGAATGCACCATGGAAAGACCAAGCGGCAAAGAATGGAATGAACAAATGATGAAAATACCAGAACTGATTAAAATTTTTACGTCTTCTATTTTCCATAGCAAAGAATACCATGACAAGTAGACAAATTAACATCACATAACCGGTAACTCCGGGACCACTCATAAAATTAAGTTGAAGCCACATTACAATGCCACCATTATTTGCCCGGGCGAGTTCCCAGAAATTAACCCAATGTGATACTGTGTGTATAATCGTAAAGAATAAAATTGACCAACCAATAGCCTTATGAAATTCGATATTTTTATCAAAGGGAATTATCCCATTCAAAGGAGTTGCTCGAAACATTGAAATTAAATTTCTGCATACTGGAAATAAAATCATGGCTGCATCAACGTGTAAAACAAGTGCAGCTGAACGTGCAAATACAAAAGTAAGACCAAATATTGACCGAGCTGTGGATAAGTTATCACTGTAGAAAAAATTGAGAAAAGCCATTGTAAATACCAATGCGTGAAGAAATATCCATATTCCAAAAAATATGGTTCTTGCTCCTATATAAATAATGTCAGTAATATATTAACAATATTAATATATATAGATGTATATGAGAATATTAATGTGTATTAAAAATAATGCTAAATAAATAAATTAATTAATTAATTACCTTCATTAATCATCCAAGATTGAAATTTTTCAATTTCAGTACTTGGATTTTTAACAGTAACAGTTGAATTATAAGCATTCGTAGGATCAAATCTATCAAGTTGTGGTAATCGTTTAACGGAATCACCTCTTGCAAGATTTTTTATAGTACCAGAACGACTGACATTTCTACTTTCAAGCTTTCTTGCGGATGCTTGTCGATGAAGAGCAATTTCTTCGGGATACATTAAAATGTTATCAGGTTTTGAGTCAACATCTTTATTATAATATTCATCATAATCACGAATTTGATCAGAGTTTCTGGGTTTGATAACATCCTTGTATGGATTATAACCTGGACTATTGAACGAATCCATTTATAATACTATTGTAATTGGTACAATATTTATAATTTAATATGGTTTTTTAAAAAAATAATAATATTTTTGTTGTGATTTTCCAATGTTTTTAAAAATTAATAAATAAATAATAATAAATATTATAATAAATTATAATAAATATAAATAATATATTATAATAAATATTATAACAAATTGGATTGAACATAAAATAGCTCGGCCAGCCGAGAGTCAATATAATAAAAATAGAGGAAGAGAAAAAAAAAGAAAAAAACTTGGGAATAATTTTTGGAATTGGTATTTTAAATATAAAATAAGAAAGGAGAACGCAGTGTTAGAAGTTGAAACATCAATTTTTTTTATGTAATACAATATATTAAAAAAAGTAATATCGAATAGTCCAATCATTACTGATATATTAATTTAATTTATATTTTCATTCTATAAAGCTATAAAGGAGAAACAAAAGGAGAATGAATGCATGCATTAAACTGCTCGTATTATTGTCATCCATCGTTTATTTATTTCATTTACTTTTTATTTTTGTTTTTGTCGAATCAATGTATTCAGAAATGGAAAGTGATAAAATTAAAAATATATAAAAAAGAATAATTATCATTCTAGGAAGAATATGAAAAATATCGTACGATAAAAGCATTATTTTTAATTTATTAAATGTGAGAACATCACATGAATCTAATTTTTTTTTGATTTTTTTTTGAACGAGTAACTTTTTTATATAACGACCCGGTTCTGGGGGAGATTACTATTCCCTCAGCCGTTGAATGTTTAGATATTCACGCACTTTCTAAATTTTGGACCAGTATATTACCGTAAAAAGTCAATAAAAGATCTAAGCCCTCCTTTTAGTTGGTTTTGTTCTCTAAATGGGCCAGCTTAAAAAAAGTTCATATAAACTGTGAACCAAATTATTTGGTAGGGATTATTATTATTTATTGAAGTTTCAAAAATTATTTATTTAACTTAATAGCAATACAAAAACAATAAAAAAGTAAATTAAATAATGATAATTTTTTAATTTTTATGAACCAAGTCTTATCTTGTAACGTAAATTTATTTACAACAAATAAACCAGAGGCCTTGCCTCACTTTAGCTATATTAAAAAAAATAATAATAATAATTAATCAAGATATAATAAATATGTACGCGGGTCTGTACTTTCAAAGTTTATCCCTAGTCTTCGTTTTACATGCAGATTATTATATTTTATTATATTTTATTATAATAAATCCAAAGGTAACTGATATATTATATATAAATGCTAAATATTTTATTTAATACATTTTTTATAAACTTGATTGATTACATTGTTTAACTGTATAAAAAATGTCTTTTCAAATAATGATTTTATAAACTTTAATTCTGAAATTGATTTTTATTAATTATACACGCGCACATTATGAATTTTATAAATTCAAATCTTAGAGGCTTTGAGGTTCATTTTTCTTGTTCCATGTTATAGTCATTTTATGTTATTAATATAATCGGTTTTGTTTGATAAAAATAGAAAAGAGAAGGAATACAAGATGAAATAATAAATAAATTGCACTACGTAACATGAAGAAATCTTTTGAAAATAAGAACAAATATATCCGAAAAAAAAACTTTATCAAATGGTTAAATCATGTTATCTTTGTTTTGTGTCAATATCAAATTCCTAATTTAATTATTTTAAGAGACTTACGAATTTGCTTTAATTACTTTAATTGTAATTTTTCCCCTTCAAATTTCAATTTTCTCCCGTCCTCCTTGATTTTCGTTATCTTTTCATTTAATATATTTAATATACATCCAACCAGGGATATGCTACCGCATAAGGTGCTAATTTTGGTAGGGTTTGTTTTTAATTATAGAAAATTACGTAATTTTTGTCTTATGGTGATCTTCCCCTGATACAAAATAAAATACTTGTATAAATTATAATTATAATTCGGGAAACATAACAATCAATATCAAGTATACAAATCAATACGCCACGTCAATTAACAAGAGTTTACCAATATATAAAGGTTGAGATTTTTCCTTTCTTTTTTTCTTTAAAATTAAAATATGCTCTTTTATTTATAAATTATGAAGTTAAGGCTATTAATTACATTTTTTACTGATAAACCAATACCATTAACAACCTTTAAGCATTTAAGATCATGACTCCTATTACCAACCCTCAACTAAGATTTCCAAAAATTATGTCCACCTTTTTTTTATTTATTTTATTTTTATTTTTTAATGAATAATATTTTAATAACCTTATTTCATAATCAAAAAAAAGTAGTTATTTCGATTCAATTAATTACTCAATTCAATCAATAATTATTCAATAACAATAGAAACAATGTAAATATATTACAAATAATAATAATAATTATAATAATTAGCAAAATTCTTAAAATTCTTAATAACTGAAATACAATTCTCTCCAGAAATATTTTCTGGTTACTTGTATAACTCAATTCTTGTGCGCACAATCTATCCGGCCGGTATCTTCAGTTAACTGAAAGTTCTCGAAAAAAAAGTAATTATATAATAAAAAGAAAATTTCACCACGAACGTTGAAAACAATACAAACACCGAATAATTGCAAACAAAACCAAAAACCATTGAGACCACTGAAAATACTGCAGAGACACTGCAGACACTACAAACAGTGAAAACACTGAAACAATCCAAACATTACAAAGACTGAAACAATCCAAACATTATAAAGATTGAAACAATCCAAACATTATAAAGACTGAAAGCAATCCAAAGACTGCAAACACCACTACGAAAAACTACAACACCACAAATACTGCGATCTAGAATTCGCTAACAACTTATTTACACAGCAACCAAAACATACAATCACGTGATAAAATTTATATATTGAATAACAAGTGCGAAAAAAATAATTTTGCACAAAAATGGTGCGGAAAAAAGAATTCTGAGAAACAAAAGATAATAACTGTTGATTTGAAGAGATACCTGAAAGTAACCAATCATCACCCGAAGGGGATAAAAAATTTAAAACCCATATGAAAACGAAACTTAAATTATCACAAAATTTCTTAACTAAGGTAAGAATTATATCTAAATTCCTATTATTCCTATTCTTTACTTCTTTATTACCAAATTTTTTGCTTTATTTTATAGCAACAAATTACAGTCACCTGACATGTACACCATTTTGTATATTTTAAACTTTAATAGAGGTCATTTATTTATTTCATAGAACGAAAAAAAAAACGCTATTATAGAGGTTTTTTTTTATTTATTAACAGCAGAATATGGCTGGCAGAAAACGACTGGAAGAATACGGCCGGCAGAATACGGCTGGCTGCAATCATATAATGTTTTTAAAAAAACGTAAATTTAGAATAATTATTAACTAAATATGATTATTCATTTGATCTCGGCTAAATATCATTTGATATTTAGATTTTTAGTAAATTACTATTATAGTGTTTACTTCGCGATTCAGTTTTTGATATCTTTTTTAAAATATCCTGAATTTTGTAAATCCAAAATAAATTATTCTTGTTTTGGATTTTTTTCTTGTAAATATTTTTTTTTATTTATATTTATTTATATTTATTTATTTTGATAGTGTAGAATCATGTGCGCGAGGGCTTAAGCCTGTCAATATTACATAAAAATTAAAAATTGTTAATAAATTTAAAGCCTGAGAATTTTCTTCATTTTTTTTCAAAAAAAAAAAAAAAAAATGGAACGCAGAATTCCTTACCCTGATAAAATGAAAGCTTTACAATATACCAAATATAATGAAATAAAATTAGTTGTTTTGGATACTCCCAAGGTTACATCACCTTATGACATAATTGTCAAAGTACACGCATCTTCTCTCAATGGAAAAATCCAGCTTTTACAATCACCAATTGTTCTTGGTTTAGATTTTTCAGGAGTAATTGTAGCAAAGGGTAATTCTCCAGAAGTGAATAGATTTTTCTTGAATGATCCTGTAATGGGAACCGTTATAACTGGAATCCATGCTGAGTATGTATGCTATTAATTTATTAATTTTTGTTATTCATATATTTGAATAAAAATATATACATATGTGCTTAGATTCATAAAAGTTGATGTCCGGAAAGATACAATTGAAGAAAAACCGTATTCAATTACACATCAAGAAGCCGCAACAATTCCCTCGTGCTTTTTACAGGTTTTATGGGCTTTGTACATAGATGAAAAACAAAAACCTCATAAACCGAAAATTCTGATCATTGGTGCATCTGTAAGAAAAATAATTTTATTTTATACAATTACAATAATTATAGAATTCTTATTTAATTTACAATTTATTGAATTATTATTAATAGGAAGGATTAGGAACTTTGGAAATTCAAGTAGCAAAACAATTATTTGATGCCAACGTAACTGCAATTTGTTCTTCAGAACATATTGAACTTGCTAAATCTCTAGGTGCAGATTTTGCTTATGATGAAAAGGAATCGTCTAATGAATTATTAAAAACCCAAAATAATTTTGATATCATATTTAATGTAATTGGTTACAATGATAAAAATTATCCAAAATATAGATCACTCTTAAAGAAGAATGGTATATACGTGACTACAGTTGGAAAAGAAAAATTAACATATTGTACATATATTCGGGTGACTTTTAGTACGATTTATCGTAAATTAATTGGTTTATTTACTTCAACAAAATATAGAATTGTGTTTGCTAAAAATCATAAAGATTTTAAAAATGGTTTAACATATATTGAAAGGAGAGAAATTCGAAGTTTTATTTCGAAAGAATTTGATTTAAAAGATAGTGAGAAGGCCTTTGAATTATTAGAACAAGAAGGGTACGGCGGTAATATTATTTTAAATTATATAGAAAATTAAAGTTAAATAAATAATGGTACAAAGTCGTACCAAATTAACTTTTTATTAATTGTTGTCTCCCACTGACTTTATTCAAAAAAAATCTTATTTAACAAAATGCTTGAATTAACAATTTTGTTGGTGGCATTATTAGTAGGATATTATACCTACAAATGGATTATTTATCCATTGTATCTTTCACCTCTTTGTAAAATTCCTGGTCCACCAACCGATCATTTTTTGTTGGGAAACTTTGTTAGACTCATTAAAGAAGAGGCAATATTTTTTATTTATTGATAAAAGAAAAACATAAATATAATTTCTCAAAAAGAAAATATTTTGTATTTTATAATGTAGGTAGGAGTACCTCAGATAAAATGGACCAAGGATTATGGAGGAATTATTTGTTATCGAGGATTATTTAATGAACCTCGAATATCAATTACCGATCCCCAAGCTTTACAAAAAGTGCTGGTCTCCGATGTTTATGATTATCGTAAACCAATATTTTTCTCTGTAAAGAAAATTCTGGGAGAAGGAATTGTGCTAGCTGAAGGAGATGTTCATAGACGTCAAAGAAAAATAATGAATCCTGTTTTTTCGCATTCTAACATTAAGGCAATTTATAGATTATTATTATTTATATTTATTCTTCTTTTATTCCTTTCTTTTGCAATAAAATTAAGAATCAATGATTAATAAATTATAATTAATATAATTAATATTTTATAGGAAATGATTCCTACTTTTGCAGAAATAGGTCATTTATTAAAAGAAATTTGGATAAAAGAATTAGTTGATAACAAAGAAAGCAAAATTGATCTCATGCCATATATATCAAAAGCTACACTTGATATTATTGGAAAAGTTGGTTTGTATATTCACGTCATGTTCATATTAAAATTTGCATATTAAATTTATTTATTAAAAAAAAATTTTTTTTTAAACCAGGCTTTAATTGTCAATTTAATTCTTTAACATCTGAATGTGAACTTGTATCAGCTTACCATATGCTTCTCAATTCAGGGCAAAAATTAATTATTCTCCTCTCAAATCTTTTTAAAATAATCCATAAACTTCCTATTAAGCATAATTATATAATAAAAGAAGCAACAAAAATTATTGAAAAAGAATCATCAAAGTTGGTGAATGAGGGTTTAGAAAGGGCCAAACGGGGTAATTTACAGGGAAATGATATTTTATCCGTTTTGATAAAAAGGAATGAAGAAGAAAAAGATAATGAGAAAATGTCTTTTGATGAACTTAAGTATCAAGTAAACATTCCACCATTTTTTAATTACAAATTTTCCTCTTTTAGATTAATGTTTATCTCTAGTTTTTTTTTTTTTTTTTTTAAAAAAAAACAAAAAAGATAATGACATTCCTTGTAGCAGGTCATGAAACGTCAAGTGTAGCAATTGGATGGGGACTATATCATTTATCAAAAGATAAAGAATCACAAGACCTTCTAAGAAAAGAATTAATTAATGAATTTCCAGACCCAAATTTCATTCCAACTTTTGATCAAATTAATAAATTGGAATATTTGAATGCAGTTGTTAAGGAGACACTCAGGGTTGATCCACCAGGTATACAATAAATGAATTTTTTAAAATAATAATAAATATTTTTTAATATGAGCTAAATTGTGATTCATTTTATTTTAGCTCCCGTTGTCTTACGTGTTTCGAATAAAGATGATTTTATTGGTGGTTATTTTATTCCAAAGGTAAGTTAAATATTTTAAAATATTTTTATTCTAACAAGACAAAGATATATTTATAATAAATAATATATTTTATAATATTTTATAATATTTTATAATATTTTAAATATTTTATAATATTTTATATAATAGGGAACTACAGTAATTATCCCAATAAACACAATACATAAATTACCATCAATTTGGGGTCCAGATTCAAATGAATTCAAACCTTCTAGATGGCTTGATCCAAGCATCTCATCGTCTAATTCAAAAATAAATTCTAATTATTCATGGATACCATTCCTAACTGGAGCGCGAAGTTGTATTGCTTCTAAAATGGCTTTGAACGAAGTAAAAGTGTTATTAGCAATTTTGATCAGAAACCTTGAATTTAGGGATGAAGGTCAAAAGATTAAAAAGAAATTGGCTTTAGTATCAATGCCAGATCCTGGTGTCACGCTTTGGGTAAAGAAAGTGGATACAAATTGAATTTTATAGAATTATGATGAATTTGAATCATTTATTTTTGTCATGATATCATTGTTAATATAATTATGTAAAATGAAATGCATTTTTATAAATTTATAAAACTCATTCAACAGTTATATTTATATTATTTACATGAATAACATTCTTTAATTATAAAAGATTTTTTAATTAATTCTATTTTTCAAATCAAATATCAAATATCAAATACAAAATTACAAAATATAAAATGTAAGAAATATCATCTTTTCTATACAAAATGTTGTATTATATCATTAAACCAAGTTGATCAAAAATTCAAATATTCTTTCTCTATATTCTTTTCCATTAATTTCTTTACCAATTATCAATTCTGGACATTTTTCAATTCCAACTGCATCAATCCTCAAAGTCAAATTATCAGGAGATGGATACCCATCAACAATTGACACTTTACTAAATACATAATAAAAAAATAAAAGCCAAACATGAACGTTTTACATATTTTTTATTATAAACAAATTAAATTAAAATTTTTCACTTACATTGGACGTTTCCAAAAAGATTTGGACCATTTTTCTTCGTTGTCTGTATCATCAGAAGTGGATTCAGATAATACTGGTGAAATATTTCTATATATAATCATCATTGCTGTATCCAAACACCAAGTACTATTACCAAAAAAAACATTATCTAGACCTGTCAAATAATTTAATTGCTCAAATACAACTTTAAGCAAAAATAAATTGATTTCTCGGTAAAGTAAATCTTGAAATTGGTTTAAATCACGGGTTTTTATATCACCATTGGAAAGGTGAATTGTCACAGATGTCGGTGATTCTAATGTAAATCGAAGGCTATGTCTTTTGAATTGGTGTGAACAAAATTTAAATTAATATAAAATCTTTAATTATAATTGCATTTTAATTAATTTGAAATCGTTCATGAAAAATACCTGCGGTCAATTGTTACGATAATCATGCCCGTAAACAAGGGAACTTTCTCATTTCCAATTTTTTTCCAAACATCTTCAATTAAATCTTTTCCTTTAGCCAGATTGGAAATGAAATGAACTTGTAAAGGTACACCACCGTTTCTCAGAGCCCTTGTCGCTTCATTAACGATCTTCCGAACATGTTCGCAAAAGAAATGATATTTGAGTACATGAATAACATGTGACAGAAGATAAGCGTGAACACTTTGGAATATTAATTTAAAAATAAAAAAAAAAATTTTTTTAATGATGATGATTATTATTATTAATTTTGAAAAAAGAAAACAAATGAATCTTACATCTCGGCCTTCGTTCCATACAATATGCGTTCCTGTTGTTTACGTAAATGCCTTCTATGATATTTCCTCACCAAAAGTTCCATCACCAATTTCAATATAGTACAAGTCGAAGACTCTGGTGAAATTGTTACATCGAAAGTTCCCTTTTCGAGTGCTGAAGTCCAAGTTTCACTCATTGAAGATGTCTTTTCTATTGTATCAATATTGGCCTATTAAATAATAATTTAAAGAATACTTAAATTAATTAATATAAAAAAAAAATAATATTTTTATCTTTGTTACATAAGTGAACTTACCCATTGAATAATTAAATCTACTCCTTGATATATCCGAACGAATATTTCATTTTCAATTAATGTTACATTAGGCATAGCACGTGCTTCTCGTGTCATCTAATATTGAAGATAAATATTAAATGGAATGGCAATGAGATCAAAAATAATTAAAAGAAAAATTTATAACTTACTTGTTCAATCAAATCGGCTTCGAAAATTGCTTTCTGAGCTGCCACAAGTTGTTGATGGATAATTGAACCATCCGTTGCTTCTGAATGAAGTACTTTGATGGATAGCAAAAAGTATTCTCAATAATACTCTGTAATTTTATATACATAAAGTACACATTTTATATATCTAATGTCCTTAATCGACCTCAGAATATTAAAGTTATACTCACAAGAATTCTCTTGTACAAGCTGCGTACTTCCATTAAAATCACTTGATCTCTGTTGTAACTTTAGTTTAACTGCCCTCTTAAGTGTTTGAGGTAAAGATATTACAATTTGCCTTTCTTCAGGTGTTCTTGATATTTGTGCAAGTGTATTTTCTAAGTAATTTGATCCAGCTAATAAAAAAATAAAAAATTAAAATTTTTAACCAAGTCCCTATTTTTGTTTAATATTTATATATTATATATACATATTTTATTTACCATCTGAATAACCATAATCGACAAAAATCTGGTGTCCGGCATTTTTTTCTTTACCACCACGACGCATACTCCAGTGATGCTCTCGCAATGATAAAGCTTCATTCCAGAACGTTTCTTCTTTTACAACAATATCTTTAAGTTTTGCAGCCGCATTTAATAACATTTCCGCCGAATGTTTGAGTTGCTAATTCATAATTTAATAAGGATCATCAATTTATAATTATTAAAATAATAAAAAAAAACAAATATTCATAAGGAATATTTTTTTTTTAAAAAAAAAAACCTTTCTTTTCATTCCCAACATCAATTTAAGATTCTGAACCTTGAAAGGTTTAGTAGGTTGGGAGTAACTATGATATGTACTATGTATTATACCAGGGCTGACTGGAAGTGGATTATTATGAATAAAATCTTTTCGATAATCCGATAAGATCAAATTTAAAACATCAATTCCAATCCCAATTTCATTATTTGATTGTCTAAATTTAAATCATTATTAGATCAAATAAGAAAATATGCATGTTTAGAAATAAATAAAAAAATTCAGCTAATTCTATTCACCTTATGGTTTGCATAATAGAAGTCTTCATAGCCGCAAGTTCATCTTTTTCACTAATTTTTTCCTCTTTTTTATCTTCGATCTTTTCTAAATCACCATTTTCGTCTTCTGTCAACGAATCGAGTGTCAAATTTTTAAATGTACGTTGGTTATATATTTTTCGAACCTGTTCTCTTAAGTTATCGCTGGGGGATGACTTACTTTCGAATGATCGAATGAAAAATGAGAATCAAGGTAAATCTAGAAATCACCCAAGAAATGTTACAATTCATACGATTTATATGTTTCAATCCCATTAGGTTCCGATACATCATATGGTTCAGATCCTATACGAGGCTCGAGTGATAATTTGGGTAAAGAAGGCTCCATAACGAAACGATAGTGTCAAAGATTCAAGTTTAGATCTTGGAAATTGTGAAAAATTAATATCACGTGAATATTGATTTCCATTTTTGCTAGATTACGAAACGTGACACATTTTTTTTCGCGTGAAATTTACCATAAAAGGGGGTCGTCTAAAGCCAGGTACATCACGAAATTTTCCGTTGACTATGGCCAATAAATTCGTGAATTTTTGTTTACACGGATCAGCCCGACGAAGAAAAAAGTGAAAAACACGAAAAAATATAAGAAACGGATGTCTAAACATGTCTTGGTACATTAATAAAAAGTGTCGGGGAGGAAATTTTACATATTATATATATTAAATTCTAATCTATACTTGATCTTAACCCTAGCATTAATTAATTTAAGGTAATTTCGTGATGTACCTGGCTTTAGACATCCCCCATAAAAGGTCACGTCCAAAAATTAAATTTTAATTTCAATTTCAAAAGGAAAAAGGATCAGGGCAGCCTACTATAAATGGAAACCTCTGCAAGTTATCTATTATAAACCTAATATAACTGAGAAACCACCAACAAATATTATAAATCCAGGAGACATTCCAATTACTGAGAAACATGACACTCTTCATCTTGATATTCTATCTATCACAACTAATACAATGTCCCGTAGGGTGTGTATGAGAAAGGGTCAGGCGAGGCGCAGAAGTTTTTAGGTATACTTCACACGCGTTTATTCTTTTTTTTTTTGTTTCCTGCAGATAGTATGGGACATAACTTTAGGTGGCCGCTTCGATAAGAGATCATGTCTTCTGGGCTTTCAATGACGATAGTGTTTCCGAAGGTGACCAAGGCCAAAACAAAGAAAACGCCTTGTGCTATTTATCTCAACTTTTTTTCATTGAGTCTCCGCAGCAAGGAAATGACATTCATTTATATGTAATAGTATTAGAGAATTTAATTTTCAGTCTGTATGCAATTTTTTTGCATGATAAATAATATATTGTCACTATCAAGTATATTCCCATTTGGGTAAATTTTTTTCTGTTCCCACTATCATTATTATTTTTCACTGTAATAAACATTCTATATCTTCTCCGGCATCATTTTTGTCTCATTCTTCATATTAAAGAATTTTAATGTTTGAAAGTACCTTTTTCTTTAAAATAATAAAATAATATCAATAACATAACATATTAATATATATTTAATTATGTTATATCTTTATAACGTAAGGTTAACAATATCTCTTTTAAAGTTAAAGTATCGCAAAAGTTTCGACCTTTTGCTGTGATACAAGGTCATAATTTGGAAATTGGAATTGAATAAGTAAAATTATATATGATATATTTTCTTGACAGTAAAAAATATAATTTAAATAAAAAATATGTGCTTTTATATTGAATTTGATCGTCTGCATTGATCGAATCGAAATATCAATTCGATCGTCCATAAATCGATCGTCCATAGATCGATCTATAGATCTTCGAGATCTTCTTAACTTAAAATATATAGAATATATAGATTTGATGAAGATATGCATTTCACACTCAAAGAAGAAAATTACGTAGTCATCGAAAACGGATCATATAAAATAAAGGCCGTGAGAGGTCTTGGTGATATAAATCGAGCTCCACCCGTGGTAAATACTCTTTACTACTCACAAATATAATAATAATATTATTATTTAGTAAAATTGTCAGAGAAGTAGATCTATAAAAAAGATAACTTTCAAGAATAAGAAATATTTATTTGTTATTTTAATATTATTTATAGATAATTCCTACTAAAGTAGGGCATAGGATAGAAATTGAAAGAACCGACGTAGAAACATCACCAAGTGTATATGATAATAATAATTCAGCGGGACCTAATACGCCAATAACCACCACAACGCCAATAACCACCACAACGCCAATAACCACTACAACGCCAATAACCACCACAACGCCAATAACCACTACAACGCCAATAACCACTACAACGCCAATAACCACAACTACAATAACCACAACAACGAATATTGCAACAACGACAACCACCACAGCAACAAATGTTGCGACGACACCATTAAATACCGCAACGCCACCATTAAATATTGCGACACCACCATTAAATGCCGCAACGACAACAACAACAACAAATACAACAACAACATTGTCATCAAATACAACGACAACATTATCATCAAATACAAATACTACAAATATATCAACCAATAATAATGATGATGATGATGATGATGATGATAATAATAATATTAATAAAAAAGAACAACCTAAATATGTGTTTGATGCTCAATTAGATGAATTAAGAGAACAATTTGATGATAAAGTTAAAATTACATATCCAATTAAACGTGGGAATATAGTTAATTGGGAAGAATTAGAAGCATTATGGTAATATAATTTATTATTATATATAGTTTATTATTATTATTATTATTATTATTATTACTTATTATATATATATATAATGTATAAATTTACTTATTGTATTTATTGTATTTATTGTACTTAGGCGTCACATCCTCTTAAAAGAATTAAATATCAAAAGGGCCCGTAACGAATGTCCAGTATTATTTTCCGTTCCTAATAGTTGGACCAAAGATCAATACGAACGGATCACACATATCTCTTTTGAATCATTTAATGTACCAGGACTTTATATCGCGAATCAAGCTTTAATGACCATTTATGGATTTGGTGTGCTTACAGGTTTGGTGGTTGATGTTGGATATGGGAAAACTGGTATTTATAATATAAATTAAATTATAATATATTATATTATACTATAAATTACATTATAACATAATATTTTTTTTATTATTTTTTATTATATATATATATATATATATATATAATAATAATAGAAATTACACCAATCATCGATTGTTCCATACAATATCATGCCACTCAAACTATTCCAATAGCCGGACAAGATTTTGATGAATATTTTCTTTCATTATTATTATCCGATAAAAAATTTATAGAAGAATATGGGGAGATCCCTGATATCGAATTCGCGAGAGCTATCAAAGAATCACCAGATATTTGTCAAATTTTGGAAGATCCTGATCAATTAAATTTAAATGAAGAAGAAGAAAGGATGGAAGTTGAATATCTTGAAAAGAAGGTTAATTATTAATAATTAATAATTAGATTACTAATTAATGAATTTATTGAATAATTACCAATGACAAAATAAATTACTCTTCACAAAATAAATAGTTTACAATTGGATCCATTCGATTTAAAACATATGATCCACTCTTTAATCCGGAAATTATTGGTAAATCAGGAATTCTTTCATTATCTGAAGCTATTCATTTATCAGTTTTGAGTTGTGACCCAGATAAACGAAGTACCTTATTAGAGAATATTGTTGTTACCGGTGGATCAACTTTAATCAAAGGTAATAATAATTATAATGTATTAAATGTATTATCAAATGTAATTATTTATTATTGATTATTATTTTATATAGGATTTAAGGAACGTCTGGAAGCGGAATTACGTCCTCGTTTTTCATTATCCGAAAATTATGGAGAATATCAAGTTAAAGAAATAAGATTTTTAAAGTTACAAGATTATTTTACTAATATTAGAGATCGACCTGATTTGGCGGGATTTTTGGGTGCTTCCATTACAGCTAAAGTATGTTATATTATTATTATTTATTTGTTTGTTTGTTTGTTTATTTGTTCATTTAATTTTCATTATTCTTTCAATATTTTCATTAATCCTCATAATCATGATAATAATAATAATAATAATAATAATAATTATTATTATTATTATTATTATTATTATTATTATTATTATTATTATTATTATTATTATTATTATTTATTAGCTTTCATTCCCGGATCCCAAAGGATTTATTAATAAAGTAGATTATAATGAACATGGACCAAGCGTAATACATACAAAAGGATATTAAATTGAGAATATTGATTATAATCATCAAACTATTATGTATGTATGTGTATGTATATATGCACATATATACACATGTATATACGTTATATATATACCAATAAATAAAAGAATGACAAAAATATCAATTGCTGTTTGTTTGTTGTTATTTTTATTATAATATTTATATTATAATCAAAAGTGTAAACAATATTATATCATTATACAAGATAAGTATTCAACCATGAAGCTTTGTGTATAATATCATGAATATGTAAGACCCATATTTTCAAAGCCGTGAAAGCCTTTGTTCAGTTCTTGCTTTATCAAAGGATGTGAACCAATAACTAAATTTATGAATAATACATAACATTAGCATTTGAGAATTGTATCAATTTTCTAGCTTCAAAATATTTTTTTGCTTTCAGTAGGTAAAAGATCATATTGTAAGTGAGACCAAATCCAGTTCATCCACTCGCTAGGAGTTTCACCCGAATTAACATTTCTCATTGAATAAGAATTCACCCCATTCATCATCACTGCATTTAGAGTCACGCAGATCGCTATTTATTGATTATAGCGTGTTAAACCTATTAGATAAAGTTTAATATTCATTCTTAAAATGCGATTCATTTTTTGTTCATTCATAAAGTCTTTGTAAATATAGAATGACAATATTCCCAATATTTAAGTCTGAGAAAATTCGTCTTCTGTAACAGGAGATAAACAATTTTTCCTGGAAGATAATAGAAGGGCAAGAGGAGATAACAGACAGTAATGAAAAGAATATTACTTCTTACTCGGGATCCTTTTTTCGTTTTACAATATTTATTAGGTCTCTAACTTTCAAAATATCCGCAACTTTGAAGATAACATAATATAATTAATTTAATAAGCTAAAACTATTAAATGTAAAAAGTGATATATTTTTTAAGCAAAATAAAGAACTTTTTTTTTCTTTTCTATTGTAATAATAAACTTTTATTCGTTTACTGTCCAATTAGACGAAATTTTATTTGAAATTTTCTTTTTTCTATTTTCCGCTTTTCTATCAATCAAATTTTAAATGTTTACATTATAATCATCGTTTCTTGGTTTCCAGTTCGCGTTAGGGAATCTACAAATAGGGAGGCGACGCACAGGCGCAGCGATCAACACAGTCCTATATGCCGCCATTAGCAATAAACAACAGACAAAAAAAATAAATAGAATAAAACACCCACTTTCCTAGTATTTTCCACCATCTTCTAAATCTTCTAAAGTTTCTTTCTTCCAAACCTACCTCAAATATCGTCGTCTAATATATGTAAAAAAGAAAAAAAAATAAAGGTTAATATTTTTATTCTTTATTATTCTTTATTATCTTTATTATTCTTTAATAATAATAGATTAGAAAAGCGGAAAAAAATGAAAATTCGACAATAGTGAAGTGGGAAGAAAGCTAAAACAGCTGAGGAATTTATCTGATCAGTATAGTCTTAATTATGTCAAATTTATGAGATAATCTATCTAAATTTTTGAATAGTCGATCTTTAATTTTGCGATGATAGACGATCGCCGAAATCTTAGACTAATAATAACAGATATTAATCATAATATTTGGATACATGTATAGAAGTATATATACACGCAATTCGCTTTCGGTACTGTTCTGTTACTTGTGAAAGGCGCTAAGAGATAACTAATCTTTTCTGTATTTTTATCTTATTAGAGAATTAAGCACTATGATGTATACCTGTTATATCTACCATGACTATCATAAAGAATTCAGCGTCAAAATGAAAAAGATATTTCCTAAACTTCTTGATGCTATCACATGCGCAACAAGTTTAACTGATGAAAGTGAAGATCGTGGTGCTCAATTTATATATCACAAGGGTTAACACTATGATTCTATTGTCAAGAACGTTAATTACGGTCGCGTTGCCGTGAACCGTGTCGAGACACATCTGAGAAAACCTATCGAATCGATAAAAAGATGTACATCGTTTACTATTATTTAGATCTCGAAAAAGGTGGTGTCGGGCTTCATCATGCATTTGATAGTAAGACGAAGGCACTCAAGTTTGCAAGCGAGTTAAGCGAAGGAAAGGATAGCGAAGTACAATATGCATGTCATAGTGGAGAGTTTTTCGATCAAAGAGCTAAAAATAGAACTTATAAAAGAATTGCAGTGGATCCAGTTTCCGTTGGAAAAATAAAATCTTCCGAAAAAAGAAAAAAAAATTAAGATATACTACGCTAAAAATTATGGCATTAATATAGCATTTATTTTACTGTAAATTAATAAAAGAACCGTATTTAAAGTTTTCAAAATTTTCGTGTTAAAGTTCACATTAAATTTTTGAAAAATTGCAATGAAATATATCAGCAAATTTTTTAAGTATAATATTTTCTATTTCATTTATTTGAGTTTGCAATATAAGTGATTGATTCCAAAAAGTTTTGGCAAGAAGGTTGCCAAAGTAATTGTCCATTATGCTCTTTTTTTTGGTATGAATTTTGCCACCTAATTTAGGTGACCAAAAACTATCCGTTGCATTTTATACTTTTTAGTGCTTTTTTGTTTGTTATTTCAATATCAGAAGAGAATAATTATAAATATATTCTAATATAAATTAATATTTTTTAAATTTAACACTTACTAATCATCCTATAATGCAAAAAAATATTATTGGCATTAACTTTGGCACTCAAAATATAAACTCTCTATAATATATAAATGCCGAAAAACTATCCCAATATATAGGTATAGGGTTCTTGTCCTAGACAGTTGTTACTTCACTACGGACATAAATATAAAGGAGAGACGAGTTGATATGTCTTGATAGAAATGCCTCCAAAAAGTATAATTATCAAGAAAGGGTTTTAGGACAATCCACTTGTGTCAGTGATTATAAAAAATGATCCTCGTACATGTGAAATCTTAGATTAACCCATATTCAACAATGAATAAGCAAGTCTGGAGATTAATTTCCATATCTTGATTAATAATGATTAATAATCTAATATTATGAATATTAACTTATATGATGAAACTATTATATAATAATATACGCACAAATTGATTTATTTGAATTAACAATGTTCAGAAATTATTATTTCCAAATATAGCAATTGGGGATGTATTTATCGAGAATACCACACTTGATTTTATCCATATTATTATTGAACGACTTTCCAGTAAGTACCATTTTGTTATTTATTATTTAACAACCTTAATTGACTTGTGTATTCATATTTTCCATTCCTTACATTCCAACATTTTATACTTTATTAGATGAAGGCAAGTATTGTTTGGATATTCAGATGTTATGGTAAAGTTCCTTGTAAAAATTTTTTTGTGTATACATTCCTTTATACATAGGTAAGAAGACGGAAACAAATATGGGTTTAAGTAATTGGTTTAATTATATAAAGGAAGAAGAGAAAATTGTCCAGGAAGCTTTTAATAGAGATTTTCAAGATCCAAGTGATCTTTCAGAAAGGTTCAAGCTCCATATTGACATGAATACCAAACTTTAGTTCAAGCCAGTGGTACAGGAAAATCCAAGTTATTGATGAATTTTGCAGAGTCTGAAGATCCACAACATTTTTTCAGTATGGTAGACCTTTGTGGGGTGCGCTATTATCACCTTCCAGTGAAACCAAAGGATTCGGACCAGAACGTATTATTGAATTGACCATGGACAAGCTACATGTATCTTTGTCTTAATATTTCAAAAGATCGTGAATACATCAATGCCTACTGAACGTGTGTTGGCAGAGGCGTCTTCCCGAATAATAAATGATCCAGATGTTGACCTCCCAGAACTTATAAATCAGTTCTCTTCAGCGCTTAAGAAAGGAATAGTAGAGGTTGGCCATCGTGAAGAGCTTACCACCAGATTACTGCTTCTTATAACCTGGATGATTGCATTCAAAAGAATCATACACGTAGCAGAGATGTTGGCAATGTGTATTCTCATTTTATGACTACAGTATAAATGGATTTTTAAAATTATTATTCGCGGAAAAGAAATTGAAAATCACCTTAAAATGCAATTAAAGTTTACGGGAACAAGTTTTAGCGATGCCTACATTAAGTTCACACATTTTATCAATATTACATATATGCCGAATCTGAAAATTCTTGGAATGCTCTGATTCGTCGCGTTGCGTTTTTATGTAAACGAAATCAACGGAGAGCAGATATCATCATACCTATATATATAGGCACTCTTTTTGAAAAGTATAGTGAATATTGTATTTAATACATACTAATACAAGTTAAAAATTAGTCTACAGATAATAAAGGCAATGACTATCCATCCTCTGCAACGACCTCACTATCTCCAACATATGTAGGCATTGAGAACTTTCACATATGCCATTTTTGTCGTTGTATTTGCAATTAGGTGCAACAAGGGGTCTGTTAACATTTCAACAGCGTTTGTTACAGGAACATATCAAGTTACTGAGTGCAAAAATCAAATCGAAAATGGGTTAAAAGATAATCAAGTAGATTATAACGAAACTAGAGATAAGTTCATTAAGAAGATTAGAATTAACGATAATGCAGATGTCTCAGATACCGAAATCATAGCATTCCGAGAGCATTTTCAAATTCCATTTGCGTTATTTGGATTATCTTCAAAAATCTATAATTGTTTGAAACATAATAAATCAGGTTTTTACAACTTCACCACCATCTAAAGATCTCACAAGTAGCTTTAAGCAATTGTTAACTGCTTGAGTCGATCCCACAGTGGATGAAAAACCAGAAAAAGTTAAGATTATTAAACGCATGGAACCATTGGTATACAAGATGGAATAACAAATTCTTTATTATAAATTGAATTAAATAAGTTTAAAGAGTTTAGAGACCAATGTTTATGATTTTTATTATGTATTACTAAAAAATAATAAAGCAGACCCATTATTATAGTTATGAGTGTATTAAATCTATAAGTTATGAAATTTTATTAAAACATGATCCATATAAAAATATAATAATTCATAATAATTTAAAAAATTGATTTTTCAGTGTGTAAGAAAGTATCTTTTATTTTTTGAAAAATTCATTGAACTTTTTACAAAACAATAGCTAAATAGTATACTTAGCAGATATTAAAGCTTCATCTGACTATATTATATCAATTTATACTTGCATATAGGGCAGCTAATGATTTATAAAATAACTTATCCCCAGATTTTATTATAAAACGAGTGCCGATCTTAACCAGATCACGTCTTAAATTGACTTAACTTTAATTAAATTTAAAAATTTAATATAATACGAATTTGTATATAAGATACCTTTTTATATGAGATCATGAATTCATAATAATTCTTTTTTTATATAATCAAAATGACAAAATGTACATTATATTAGTACTATTATTTTTATTTTATCTTTTAATAAAATGAATAAAGAAATTTGGCATGAAAAATATTTGCTCTTTTTAATAGTATTTTTAATGATAAAGGAAAAAAAATAATAATTCAAATTAAACTATTTTCAGCATCATCCATTTCAAAATTGAGTTGGAATATGTAATAATTAAGATATATGACATATAATTACTACGCCTGTGAACTTTTTAATGATAAATCAGAATAAAAATAAATTTAAATTTTTTGTTATAAAAATACATTAAACAAAATTGTCTAAGGCATATACAAATATTGAATCACATGATAAAATTTCAGTGAAAAAAAATATCAAGGAAATTTGTTGAATTAAAAAAAATCATATATAACATTAATAACAATGCATCAAATATATATGTAAAGTAAATGTAATTATGTATGTATATGAAATTAAGTCACCAGGATTTAGTTTTATATAATAAAATAACTGACTACTAATAAAATACTAAGTCTTTGACAAACTAAATCTTATAAATAGGATAAGTTATCCTTCTACTCCATGACAGATTTGAATAGTTTTAAATTGTAGATTTAGATAGAAATCTCTTGTTATTAATTCTTTTATTGAATTAATTTTTTGTAACAATTCTAAATGATAAATTAAATCTCTTATTAGTTTTAAATTGTTACATTTTATATGTACTTAGTTTAATTTATTTGTTAGTAGATAAATTTTTTTCTATTTACTAATTATAAACCTCCTTTTGGAACATAAAATTAGTTCAAAAGGTTGACTAGTAACAACATGTTATTAAAAAATTTATAATTATTCTAGATATTAAAATTGGATATTATTAGTAATATAAACTATCTGCAAATAAAATTTTTTTTTAATAGAAAAGTTTAAATAAAAATATTAATTATAACATAAAATTTTCAATTTAAGTAGACAAATTTGTTTGCAATTTCTAATATATGAAAGAATAATTTTTGACATTAAATAAAATTTATTTAGTAAATTTACAATAAATGCAAGAATTTAATTTTTCAATACTATTACTTATGATAATATGATATGATTATTTGATATACAAATTAAATAAAAATATAAAAATTAAATAAATTACTATATAAATATGATTGGTTGACCGAAATTTGAATGAAATAATCCAAATAACAAATGACCAAAATTATCAAGTCATTTGATATCATTTGCCATTACTGTTGTTGTTACAAAATATGTCAGCCTTAACTGTTTACTATTTTATGACAAAGAACAAGGAATAATATCTAAACTTGATGACTGCAGTATTGCTTTGTCAATAATTAAACAGTTCATACTTGATAAAGAAAAATTTATTCAAATTATAATTGAAAAAGAATTATATTTCTTATCAAATAAATTTAACCAAAAAAAAAAAATAATAATTTCTTGAGCCTATACTTGAAGAGGCTAATGATAAAATGGAGACGTAAAAGATAATATGTCAGAAAAAGAATTATTTAACATCATGTCAATGTGCAAAAGGTTAAAATTAGCAAGAAGTGTTGTTAGCAACCAATTATAGAATAACTTATATTAGAAAGGAAAGTTTAGGGATGATTATGAAAAAAATATACCATATATGAATAGATTGAATATTTTATATCATTTAAAAGTTTTTTTTTTTATTGAATAAGATCCAATTCCCGAAAGATGAGATGCTCCAAGTATAACTATATATAGGTCTTCTTCACAATAATTATTTCTTGAGTTTGATACCGCCCTTACTGTTTTGATAAAATCATTGGAATATCTTTTATAGTGATATTTTCATGTAGATTGAAGATTCTCCATCAAAATGACCATATCAAAAAAATAAATCTCATATGAACATATAAATATTCGTTGGCGGTCATTTGTCAATATCATGGGAATCATCCACATGCAAGATTTTTCAATAGGGGAATTAATATAGACAAAGAACAATAAATTGCAATAATATTAATAATTCTGACCAATAAAAAATAAAATCCCCCAAAAATGATATTTTACAAAGCTTCCCTAATTCGTGACCGTTTGTTGTTGTTTATTATTCAAAAAATTAATTACCTAAATTTCGGTAATGGTTGGTATTTTTATTATTCAACAGTTGATCAATGACGTTCTAACGTGGACAAAGTAAACAATGATCTCACAATTGTAATGCTTTAATGCTTTGACCAACATAATTTCCTGTAAAGGTAAAAAAAGGTTCATCGGTACACTATTATCATTGAAGGAACAAGTCATATTTATTATTCCTAAAAAAAAAATCAATTTTTTTTTTTTACACCAATAAAAAATGGTTAAAATGATAAAAATAATAAAGAATGTCAATATTCAAAACGCAGGGTACTCAAATACTACATTTGGAATTTAATAAATCCATTCTTGTTATTGTTCACATCATATTATTATTTTTTTTAATCATTCTAAAAAAAAATTGATTTATAATTGTAACAATCATTACATAATTTTACTATATTAATAATATAAATAGGGCTTATGACTTTTATTAGCCACAATAGTCGAAAAAAATTTTATATAAAGCCAACTAATATTTGAAATTATTAATTCCCCAATTTTTTTTTTTGACTGAACGAGTAGGGAAAGAAATAAAATAATTTATCAAAATAATTTGTAAATCAAAATACGGATTAAAAACATAGGAAAAAAAAGAGAGCGGGAGAGAGATATAATTAAAAAAAGACAATAAATTTTTAATTCAGATTGAGAATTCTTCAATTTCATCTTTCTAATAAAAAGACACATCAATAAATTTAATCTAATAAATTATATGCATCACCGAGATTACTGAAATAATTTTTCGAAACCAAACAAATCTCTCGTTCATAATAAAAAATTCGGAATTATATTATTTTAAAATTTTGATCAACAAAAATCAAATCGGTATCAAGAAATCAAAAAAAAAAATCTAACACCTTTTCAAATTTATATATAATATAATTATTATCACAATCACAGAAAAAAAAATCATTTCGTATGGTTCAATCGTTGCTTTCTTCTGTTTTCTCTAGTAATAACGACTCATCCAACGTAGACATAGATATTATTACTGCACCCACAACTAATTCTCATAATGATAATAAAATTATGAAAAATCCCGAAAATTCAATAGATTTGGTCACTACCACAATAAAGATTGTAGAATTTTCCAAACGTAATTTTCCTTCCCCGTCGATGTTACAACAATCTACTACAAAATCTTTATTATCCGAAATGTTGAAGAAACAAGTTGAACAACAAAATGAAAATGATTTAAATCAAATTTCTTTAATAAAACGGAAACCAATTATGATTTCACCAAATAAAAGAAATAATAATATTATTAGTAGGAAGGTTAATATAAATGGTGATGATGATTTTGATCATGAACATGTTAGTGAAGGTATCAATCCTAATATGAATAATCATGAAAATAAAAATTTGTGTGCAACAACTAAATCTTTAAAATTCGGAAATTGTCCTTTGGTTGTACGTGAAAGAGTAAAACCTACAGTTCAAAGAGAAGAGTTATCGATTAAAGATGATACTAAAGATAATTTTTCAACAAAAAGAAAAATCGAAGCAATCGAATTCACCAAAAATAATAATATAAAAATGATGGAACCAATTAATAACAAATTAAAAAAAGATGATGATACTAATAATTTTATAGAAGTCATAAGGAAAACTTCATTTGATAGATTAGAACCTAAAATTCGTAATAAAAATGATACTACCACAAATGTAAAATCGATAAAACATTTATCACCATTACCAAAGAAACTTAAAGAAAATACAGAAGATAGTGATAGTTGTGAATGTAGTGACAATGATGATGATGATGATGATGATGATTACGATGATGATGATGATGATGGATATATGGAAGATGATGAAGATATGGAGGATGATGAAGAAGATGAAGAAGAGGAAGAAGAAGAGGAAGATGAAGAAGAGGAAGAAAAGGATGAAGATGAGAATGATGAGAATGATGATGATGATGATGATGGAGAAGACATTTGTAAATCTAACGGGGTAAATATTAATTATGGTGCAACAGTCGGATTACCAATATTGATAAAAAAATCATCACGACCTATAAAACCAATATTAAGTAATTATAACAACAATACTTCAACAAATACGGTGAATAGTATATCGACATCTCCAACTTCTTATAAATCAACCACATCACATTATTCTACTGCAATTTCAATACTAACTCCCAAATCCAATACTCATATCGCAAATATTAACAATAATGAAAATAATAATGATCATCAGAATAATAATAATAATAATAATAATAATGGTCAAAATTCTATTATATATCATTTTTCATCGAAGTTTATTCCAAGAAAAACGAAATCATTACCACATTATACACGAATAGTTAATAATAATAATAATAATAATAATAATTTCGGATTACCACATTCCAATAAAATTAATGATAGTGATAATAGTGATGAAATAAATAATGAAAATGCTGTCGATGCAAACAACGCATGCTCAAATGTAACAAAAGTAACGATAGATCCTCATCCTGTGAATTGGGTTTCTAGTATGATGCATCACGTAAAAAAGGGAATTCCTATTCCTCAACCTACAATAAATAATTTAAATCTTGATTATAATTTAGGTCATAATAAATATAGAAGTGTTCATTATAAACGTAGAAAGCATCATCATCATCATCATCACCACCATCACCACCGTCATCATCATTACCCCAACCAACATAATCATAATAATTATGATGAAAATTCAGAGAATAAAGAGAATAAAGTTGATTTCAAATTTGATAATAATATGAATAATATGAATAATAGAAAGAATAATACTACTCCTAAAGATGGGGAGGAAGGATTATTCTGGCCAATGTCAATTTAATTAGTTAGATGATAAATTATTATTATTATTATTATTATATAATATATATATATATATATGCAATTATATAACATATACATACAGTAGAAACTCTCTTAGTACCATTTGTATTATCAGAGACTTGTAAATAATTATTTGTATTATTTATTTTAAAAACCATAAGTTTTATTATTATTATTTTTTTTTTTGCGATGTCAAATAACTAAATAGGATAAAACCGAATAAAGAATATAAAAAAAGTTATAATCATTCAAATGGAGATCACCTATCTATTTTTCGATATATTTATATTTATATACAGTTATTGTTATAGTAAGAAAGTCTTTGTCAACTTCACGTGTTAATAATTCAAAAACTACTACTACGTCACATCACATGTGCAATGGCTCCGAATGATTAAAGATTTATTTTAAAAAAAAAATTTAATACATTTAATATGGGGAACGTTCCTCATTTTTTTCAATTACAAGTTTGCATCGTTCTTTCATAGATCCCACCAAGATCGCTAAAATACTCTGGGATTTTTTTTTCCATTCTTCTACCATAAATTGCTCAAATTCAATTAAATTTTTTTGGCAACCTTTCCCTTAACAAATTTTCTATTGGGGACTATCGATTACTATTGGACATTTTTTTTCTAGAAATTCTTTTGCAACTCGACTTGTATGCTTAGGGTCATTGTCTTATTGAAACTGCCAACGGTTCCCAAGCATTTTTCGAATTTCGGGAAAGTGTTTTGTTTATTAAAAAAAAATGGTACCGAAGTTCAATAAACGGTACAAAGAAAAAAAGTAAATCAATTAATAATATATTGGTCACAGGGTTTGTAACCTAAAATGGACGAATTAGATAATTGATTTTCTTCATGTAAATCTTGTCCAAAGACTTTCTTAACTCACTGTATATATATATATATATTTTTTGAACATTCTTTCTTTTGGGGAATTATTTAACCCAAACTATAATCGTTGTAACTTCCTTTTTTTGTTTGACACTTTGAAAATTTTGAGTTTCCAATTGCACTTTTACTGATGTGATAAAGATAAGCGACTAAGAATGAAGTTAGAAGTTAGTACATTTCTATGACAACTTACATAATAATAATCATTTCGTTTGATATGCGCTTTTTCAAGTTGTACAATATTCTGGACCTTAATTTTACTCATTTTTGATTCACTTTCAGAACTTGAATGAGATGCATTTTTAAGCTCTTTAAACATTTTATGTATGACATTATTAAGAAAATGTCTCAATTTATTAATTCTATTAATGGAATTATTTATTATTTATTATTTTATATATATATATTTTTTATCATTGTGTTGTTTTTAATTAAGACTATTTTTTTACTTTTTTTTTTCTGCTGCTTCTCGTTCAAGTTCTTTTAACCCATTTATGGTAAATTGTGGTAAAACGAAAGCAGTTTCATGAATTTTAGCATTATAATATTTTAACAACTTTGCTTCTTCTTCCTCAGTCCATCTTCTTAATGGTTTTTTCAAATTATAAGATGGATTAGTACTACATAAAATGAAACCAATTTGTCCTGATGGATAAGTAGGAATTGTAGTATAAGCATATTCTACTACTGGAAATAATGAACGACAGTATTCTTGAACTTCGGCAATTAAGTGAAGATGTAACCATTGACATTCACCTTTTTTTTTTGAGAATTAAAAGTTAGTTAAAAAACATCACATCATATATTATAGAGAGAGATATATATGTATTGAAGATATTAACCTTGGGTTGTAACGATTCCACCCGGACGCAATGCATTTTTCATAAGTTCGAAATATTTAACTTGGAATAAAGGTTCAGCTGGACCTATTATATTGAAAAAATTACTAAATTTTTTTGTACTTGAAAAATTATGAAAAAAAAAAAAATTTTTTTCTTTGTTCGTTCAAACATACCAACAGGATCCGATGAATCAGTAATTATAACATCAAATTGATTAGATTTACTTTTTAAAAATTCAAAACCATCACCAATATTAACTTTGACTTTGGGATGGTTGAATCCAATTGACATTTTAGGCAAATATTTTTTGGATAAATTTATAACGGTCTAAAATTTAAAGAAGAAATTATTATTTAAAAATATTTAATAATATTAAAATTGAATAATTGATTTTAAAATATATACGAACTTCATCAATTTCACATAAGATGACTTCTTCAACTGATTCGTGTTTAACAACTTCACGTAGAACTCCTCCATCACCACCTCCAATGACAAGAACCTATAAAAAAACAAAATATGTTATTTGTGTAATATAAATATAGTATGTATATGTAAAAACAGAAAAGCATCTTAACAAACCTTTTTAGGATTGGGATGAGAATTCATTGGAAGATGTGTAATCATTTCTTGATATCTTTTAAAAATATGAAATCATTAAAATATAAAAATCATTAAAATATAAAAATGTATACTTAAAATAATATAGATAATGTAGATAATGTAAATAATAACAAGGATTCAATAATAAAAAAAAAAAAAAACTTACGAAAATTCATCACGTTCAGTACATTGAATGACACCATCTAATGCTAGTACAATTCCATAAGTTGTGGATTCAAATATCAAAACATCTTGATACTTAGACGTTTCGTGGTGAAGAACTTTTTTGATTTCTAAGCCCAATGCTATAAAAAATTTAATAAATAAATTAATTTTTAAATATTTGAAATATCTGAAATATTTGAAAAATAATAATAATAATAATAAAAAGATATTTAAAAAGATTTATTTATTTTTTTTTTTTTACCTTGACCAGGCCAAAGCAATGGTTTTTCTCGAAACCAACCATCTATTAAAGAAACACAGATACTTAGTAACAAAAATTTAAAAACGATAAAAATATAATTAATTTTTTTCACTTACCTTGAATTTGAGGATGTGAAAACGGTTCAGAAATCATTTTGAAAAAAAAAAATTTTTGGGGATTGATTATCTATATCAGTATACCCTCAAGATAATCTATAAAAATCAAAAATCTTGTCCATTTCAAAATTAATAAATAGTGATAATTTTATTTCTATGTATATCTTATAAAAAGTCAAATATTGACATTGATCTACATAAAGAAATTGCAATTCGATAGGACAGGACAATAATATAAATAGTATTGTTGTAGGATTTACATCAGAAAACCAAATATATTAAATATATTTAAAAAGGTATTAATAGGTTATAGAATTATACCAAATCAATCAAATTAATGTTATCTTAATTTAGAATTAAAATAAAAATTACTCTTAATTCTCTTAATTTAATAATTTAATAAATAATTTAATAAATAATTTATAATAAAATAATTTAATAATAATTTAATAGTTTAATAATTTTAAAATAATTTAATGGCATTATGCAATTAACTTTTACAAATCCATTCGAGTTGCATTTTACACGAGCCTAGTAATAATACTAGTAATAATACTAGTAATAATACTAGTAATAATACTAGTAATAATACTTGTAATTTATCAAGCTATCATATTAAGAACCAATTATCAAAATTCATCATTTATCATCATCATATTTGTCCACAATTCCAATTTTGGGTTGATACTATTTTCTTTGACAATTTAGACTAAATTGATATAATAATTATTATTTTTTTTAATTCTATCAATAACGCCTTTTGGTTGCTTTGGTTGTGATGTCATTTAGACTGCATAATTATTTTTTTTCTTTTAATAGAAATGAATATCTTCGATTACTCACGACCGTAACACTGCATCTATTTTCAGGAGTCCCCTAGTATTTAAGATAAAATTATTTTTTCTTACCCATTCTTCTATCTTGGGCAGATCAAGGAGGTGTGGTAACTTTAGTGCATTCTTATTAGACATACCATTAAGTCTTCATTTTGATTATAAATATAATTAATTGCTCGTATTATTAAATTAAAGCCCTTGACTTCATATTTTTCTCATTGATAATATTTTTATTTTTTATTATTCATGCTATTTATTATTGACTTATAAAAAAAAAAAATTTTTTAATTTCTTCGGTTGAGTTTCATCTTAACATATCCTTACTTTTTATTTTCAATAATGTCTACCAATAAAAAAGAAAATAAAGAAGAGATTGAAGAGGAAATTATTGAAGAAATTAAAGAAGAAATTGAAGAAAAAATTGAAGAAAAAAATGTCGATAATTCATCATCCTCTACCGAAAAAGAAAATGAATCAAAAGGAGTAGAAAATCTTGAAAATGTCTCAGGTATGTTTAAATGATGTCTTTTATGGTTCTCTACATTTAATTAATTTCATAATTACTTATAATTACTTATAATTACTTACAAATTATTTATAATAATTATTTAGAATTAATTGTTTCAGAAAATTATGAAGAAAATTATGAAAAAAATGAAAATACTCAACACATTCAACCTAAAATTCAATTCACGGAACAAGAAAAACCCGAGCGTGCTATTAAGACAGATCATACTACAATAAATACTTCTGAACTTAACTCTCATGAAGCAATAAGTATTTCAAAAATTGAAGAAACGACTCATTCTCCGAAAAAGAGAAAATTTGATATTGTAAATTCTCATTTATGATGATGATAATAATAATAATATTATTATTATTACTATATTATTTATTTTTATATTGTTTTCTAAAATAACCTAGATTATTGTATCTAACTATATTGTTATAATTATTGTATTACTTTATTACTTTAGGATGAACATTTACATACAATAGAAAAAATTGCCGATCTATATCACGTTAACGTCAATAGCGACAAACCTTCCGAATCACGTGGTTTGAATGAGGAACAGGCTGCTAGACTATTGCAAGAGCACGGTCCCAATGTTTTAACTCCTCCCAAGAAGAAACATCCAATATTAAAATTTCTTGAACGTCTCTTCACCTTGTTCAATATTTTATTGATGGTTGCTGGTATTCTAATGTATATCTTATACTTCATTGATAGGGTGGGGAATAAAGCTAACGTATGTATATACTTCTATTTTTAATTATTATTGTATTTATTTTTTTTTTTTCAACATAAAATTTTTAATTTAATTTATTATTATTTTTCATTTTTAATAGGTTTATCTTGGTGCTATTTTGATTGGAGTAGCTTTCCTAAATGCCGCAATAGAATTTTATCAATTACAAAAATCGGCTGCAATTTTAGAATCTTTTTTGAATATGATTCCCCAAAAATGTCACGTGCTGAGAGAAGGGAAACTTACTCAAATACAAGCTTCATCCTTGGTACAGGGAGATGTTGTTTTCGCAAGAATGGGTGATAAAATACCTGCGGATCTTTTTATATTTGCAGCTAATGATATGAAAGTTGATAATTCATCACTCACTGGTGAATCTGAACCTCAAGAACGATTGAAAACAAATACTCATAAAAATCCATTAGAAGCCACTAATTTATGTTTTAATGGAACACTTGTTGTTTCTGGTGAAGGGTTTGGTATTGTCATACGCACTGGGGATCATACCGTATTAGGTCAAATTGCTGGACTTACCGCTGGTGAAGAAAAAAACAAATCTCCGTTAGCAAGAGAAATCGATAATTTCGTAAAAATTATAGCCACTATAGCTATTACCTGTGCAATTATTTTCTTTGGTATAGGATTTGAAGTGAACAATAAGAATTTTTCACTTACTATTGGTTTTGCTATCTCTGTACTTGTCGCCTGGGTCCCTGAAGGTTTACCAGCAACTGTTACTGTGCTTCTGACTATTGCAGCAAAACGAATGGCAGCAAGGAATGTACTTGTTAAAGATCTTCAAGGTGTAGAAACTTTGGGTGCAATTACTCTACTTGCCACAGATAAAACTGGTACTCTCACTCGTAATCAAATGACCGTAACTAATATTTGGGCTTCATTAAATATGTATTCTGCATTTCGAAATATGCAAAACGAAAACGCCGCTTTTGATCCAAATGCACCTGGTATACCAGAAATAATAAATATTTCTTTATTATGTTCTCGTGCAAAATTTGATCGAAAAGATGTGCCATTCTCAGAACGTCAAATTCTTGGTGATGCTACAGAAACTGGTCTTATACGGTTTGCCGCACAACATACAGATTTTGATGAACTTATCAATACATATCCCAAAGTTTTTGAAATTCCATTCAATTCTGAAACAAAATGGGCACTTACCATTCATAAGAAAAGTCATAATAATGGAAAGTTAACCTTGTATATTAAAGGTGCACCTGAAAGAATACTTCAGATTTGTTCGACCGTTTTATCAGAAGATGGATCAATTCCAATAACAAGTGAACACAAGGCAAAATATGACGAAGTTTACGAATTCATGGCTTCTAAAGGGCATCGTGTTTTGGCTTTTGCTCAATTTTTGCTACCCGAAGATCAATATCCAGAAGATTTTGTATTTAAAAAAGAGGAAAAAAATTTTCCTCTTAATAATCTCTGTTTCATTGGATTAGTATCACTTGAAGACCCTCCAAAGCATGGAGTTCGAGAAGCCATTGGCCGTTGTCGTCGTGCTGGTATTCGTGTAATAATGGTAACCGGCGACCATCCATTAACAGCCGAAGCTATAGGACGTAAAATAAATTTGATGCTTTATGACACAAAATCAATGGTTGCCAAGAAAAATAATCTTCCTATTGAATCTATTGGTGAAGATGAATATAATGCTATTGTCATTAAAGGTGAACAGGTTGATACATTAACTGATGCAGAATGGGATCTCATTTTTTCTAAACCTGAAATTATCTTTGCCCGTACTTCTCCTCGTCATAAACTTGAAATTGTCAAACGTGCTCAAGGAATGGGTCATATTGTAGGCGTTACTGGTGATGGTGTTAACGATTCTCCTGCTTTGAAAAAAGCAGATTTAGGTATCTCAATGAATTTATCAGGATCTGATGTATCAAAAGAGGCGGCTGCCATGATTTTGATGGATGATAATTTTGCTTCAACAGTGAATGGGATTGAAGAAGGACGTCTCATTTTCAGTAATCTCAAAAAATCAATTCAATATACTATTACTCACTCAACACCACAAGTCACTGTTTCTTTACTATTTGTTCTTGTACCGATTCCGTTGCTGTTAACTCCGATACTTATTTTGTTGGTTGATTTGGGATTTGAACTATTTTTAGCATTGACATATGCATGGGACCCACCGGAAAGCAAAACTGGTCTAATGAAATTAATGCCTCGAAAACCTGTAACTCCCGAATCTATTGAACGTCTTCGTCGCCGAGCCTTTAACCGGACACCAACTATTACAGATCCCAAAACCGGAGAAAAAGTTCAACCCTCAAAGTTCTCTCAAATTATTACATTTTTTAAAAAACCCTTCACTAAATCGTGGTGGTCAGAAAAATTTGAAAAACAAGAAGGTGAAGTATTGGTTGACGGCAATCTTTTAAGTTGGTCATACATAGAATTTGGTTTAATAGAAGCTACAGGATGTATCATATCGGCTTTTGTCGTTTTAAATTCTCATGGATTTACTCCATACGATGTTCGAGCCATGCAACAATCATCGTCTGAAAGAAACTATTTTACTGATAAGGCTGATCCTTATACAACCATTAATGGAGTAGAAAAAACGGCATCAGAGCAAACAGAAGCATTAGGCCAAGCAATTTCAATTATATATCTTGGGATATTAATAGAACAAATTTTTAATTTATTCGCCTGCAAAGCACGATATCGACTTCCGCTCGGAAAATTCATGTTCGCTAATCCTCGAAATTTTATTGGTGCAGCTCTCGGACTTTGCTTCGCGATGATTCTCATTTATGTTCCAGCACTAAATGTTGTGTTTGGAACGAACTATAAATTAAGTCCTAAATTTTGGTTAATACCCATTGGATTTGGAATATTTATATTGATTTACGCTTGCATTAGAACCTTAATTTTGAAGAAATTACGTCCGGCCAACGTGAGTGAGGACATTTCTGAATTACAGATGTACCCAACCATACATTCCGTTGAACGGAAAGTATAACATATAAATCAAAAAAAAAAATAATAATAATAATTTTTCTATATATTTTTTTATAATTAATGTAAGAATTTGTAATTTTTCAAAAAAAAAAAATTTCAAATAAAAAATCTTTATTTAGTTTAATTTAGTTAAACCTTTGAAATACAAAATATTATACAAATGTAAACAAATATATGTTCTATTACATAGAAAATCTTTCATCTTTCCCCCACGTGTAATATTATTGCACACCCACTATCGAAGTAAATTGATTAAAGTAAAATTGTTCAACCAACGGGTACAGATATCAATTTTTTCAAAAACATTGAAAAATAGGAATTTCTCATTTAAATATTTTGATATCTCGAACTTTATAACTTTTTTTTTTTTAGTACTTTAGTAAATGATTAAGTAAAGTTAATTTAGCAAATCTAAATTATTTAATATTGATTTTCGCGAAGTTACGAATTTTTAGTATAATTATAATAGATTTAAAATTTTGCAACATAACATTAAAAATGTAAAAATAAAAATTTGTTTATTTAAAGTTACCGTGAAGGTCCACTTACATTAATCCAATTTTCATCAACGTAAAATTGTGTTTTATTAGAATAGCTCATGACGTTGTTCTTTTCAATATGAGCGTAAAGCATATATTCATATTTATCCTTTTTTGGATATCTGCTAAATGTATGAAAAGTAAAAAAATTATAATAATGAAAACATAATATCTCATAGTGTTTAACCGATACCACTCATAAAACCGTTATCATGATATATCAGGATATTAACTATTCAACTAGAGCGGTATCCTGAAACCATTACCAGGTCTCTAGCTAGCGTAACTTCATTAATATAACACTCAACAACATGTGTCCAGTGAGAACGCTCACCTTATAGGATTTACCGGGTTGCGAAGACAAGTATCATTATAATATCTATCGTTTATTCGTTTATTTCGAATATATCATTTTTTATAGACGAGGATATCATCAAGAGAATGATTACGATCTTTGACATTTTGAATAAGGAATTGATTATAATAAAAAAAAAATTGATGGCAGAGAGCATGCCATAAGGTACCTTTTTTATATGTACTACATGGTGTGTTTACTAGAAGAAAAATCTCGTGCATCTTGTATATGTTTATTTTTCAAAACGGTCAAAAAAAAATGCATCGGGAGTTTTTATTTATTTTTTTAACGAATTTTTAAAATAAATAAAAAAAAAAAATGGTGCGCGCTAGCACAAATTTGAAAACTCCGCACATAAAAAAAAGGCGCCCGCACAAATTTTTGCAAATAGAATTCTAAATTGTGTAGATTCCGCACAGGATTTGTCAAGTATATTAAATAAGTATTGCTGTAGTACATTTCAAATACATGATTTTAATTAACTGATGTGATGTTATATATGATCAAAAAATTTTCTCGACATTTTGATGAACATGTTGGCTGAAATTTTTTCATCATATGAAAAAAATTTATATCTACATGATAAAGAATTGAATATATCAAACACTCAATCTAAATCAATTTATTAGAAGAGCAGATTTCCAAGCTTACAGCCGAGATTGATACACTTAAACGGGAAAATGTGGGAATATACTATCGACTCCATCAACTCCAAACCGACGATTTGAAACTCTCAAGCTAAATTGGTTAGGCCAATCAGACAGTTTCGATGTTTCGCTCAGATTTAACAATACTATGCTTTTATAAAAATCAAAAATCAAGGAGACGCGTTGTTTATTATATTAATGATTTGCGATCAGAGTCATGTGATTTTAAGATACAATATTATGATATTTTCTTTAATTGATCAAGTTTCTTCTATTTAGAAACAAATAATACTTGTATATTACTATTGAACTTTATAAAAATGTGAAGATTTATGTTCTGACTTAACATTAAACCAATTGGATAACCTAATTCATATACAAATATTTTAATCTTGTCAAGTCAAAATAATTGAGGAACATAAGAAACATATTCATCATTTCATCTATCCATTATCAATGAATCAAAATATCATGTTTCACGGGAAAAAATTTTTAAAACGATGACCATTCGCTCAATTTTGATGAAATAGGCCTGCAATTCTTACAGGAGATCTAATTAATTTTTGTCTTTGAGGTTATTTAGTATTGTTTCCAACATTCACTTATAATATAAAAGTTTTATATGTAGTAACAATTGCGATTTTGTATATAATTATAATTACATTATGACATAATTATGGCAGAATTACGGCATTATGGAAGTAGCAATTATTGCAACTCTTCTCTTAATACATTAATTTCATTATCTTAAATTATAATATATCTTATACTCACAATTAGGAGTTGGAGGTAGGAGAAAAAATTTACCTCAATGAATGGATATTGATTAAATATATACTGTACATATATATATTTTTTCCATTAACAGAATTATGAGAATCATTATTACTATAAATATAATTTTTTTATTTATCTCTAAATAAAATAAATTACACCATTTAAAATTAAAAATTGCTAAATATCCCTGTCGTCACTGGGCAAAGTTAGGGTTAGGGTTGATCAAGGAATTATGAAATTTTGCCTAGTAGTGACGATCACCTGCGGTGATATTTAGCAATACCCTTTAAAATAAATTGATACTTTTTAATTTTTTTCAAAAAAAAACGCCAAGTACTTTAAGCACAATTTGTTATATTGATCAATGCAATGAAACATTTACAAAACAAACTTTATGGTGAATGTTGTTGGTTCAAAACACCAAAATATAAATGTATTATTCATATTACAGCATTTTATCTTCAAATCAAATATTTGATTTTAATATTTTTAATATGATAATATAAAGAAATTAAAATATCATTTAACTTTTATTTTTAACAAAATTTATAGAATAAACATAAAAATATTTTTTGTTGAGGAAGTTTCAATTTAATTTTTTAGTAAATTTAATTAATATTTTCTATTTTTAATTTTCAACATTAATTTAATCATTAGTATTAATATAATATCGAAGACAAACATTTATTAATTTTTGTATTGAAGATATAAGCTTATTTTATAATCAAAGTCTAAAGCTTGATTAGCAAAGATATAATAATAATGATAATAATTGTAATAACAAATATTAAAAATAATAAAATAAAATCACTATTGATTATAATTGATAAGTTATAATAAATAATTCTAGTGATAATTATTTTTTTTCAACATTAACATCACTGGAATTCGCTTATAATAATAATAACAATATTTTTATTTAACTCTATGTATAAATCTTAATCACGTGGCGGCGGCGGCGACGAAGTCAAAAAATATCTAGTTGGAGATACTAATTTAAAATTTACATAAGATGTGCCACTCTCACCGCTAAAATATAGAATCAGCTCTCAATATCGTAGCTCAACGTATCTCAATGAAAACTCCAACTTAATTCAATATAATTCAATTATTACCTTGAAATAATAAAACGAAAAAAACGAAATCCTTAAATTCTAATATACTTCAGGAATTTAACTTTAGTTATTATATTCTTTTTTTCTAAAAAATTCCAGTTTTGACAATATAAAATAATTCCTATTAAATAATATAATTAAATAATATAATAAACTTTTGTTTGAATATTTAATTACACCTTATCTGATAGCTGATATTGAGTACCAACGTAATGCTTTCTTTTCATCTTTTGTAATTCCAATTCCATCATGATAGCAATGACCAAGATTATTCTGTCCCAAATGATTTCTCCCTTCAGCTGATTTCATGAACCACTGAAATGCTTTTTCTTCATCTTTCATGACCCCGAGTCCATTCTGATAACATTTACCAAGTTTATTGTGTTTTAGCATTTCCTTCATTAGCAGATTTCAACACTTTTGAAATTTTCGTTCATCAAGATTTTTAACGAAATTTGAGTTAACATTTTACACTTTGTAATCTCATTAACCCTTATCTAATTTGTATTTCATACTTAAATGAAAAATATATATGTAATTAGGTTTATAATGCTTTTGTCTATTTAATTATAGAACAATATTCACGGATTTATTCTATTTTGTTTATGAATAAAAAAAGAATAATTTTATGTAAAGAAACTGATAAGAATGGACCACGTCGGAGAATAAATAAAATTGTACATGAAAATTCAAATTTTACACAATTTTAAAATTCTATTATATGCCTTTAGCATTTTTTTATTTTTTTTTCTTAAATCAATTTCCGTATTAACATCATTCATTTTGTCGTTCTAAGAATACATATAAATAATAATTGAGTGTGATTTAAATCTTATTAAAATATACACTAATGACGAACGTAATCATAATAATAAATAATATATATAAAATAAATATATAAAATGATATGATAATAATAAAGCTCCAAACTTCTTAACAAATTATTATTGTTTTGTTAACTCCAAATGTTCTTAATTAATTATATTATCATATCATTAATTATTATTACAAATTTATCTCTGCAATATTTATTATTATATTAATAATTAATATAGCTAACCTTGAGCAATATATAAAAAGTTTCCTCGCGGAAGAAAATCCTTTAGCACGATCTTTTAATTCTAATGTTTCTAACAAAAATACTCGATAACATATCATGTTCTATGTTCAGAAATTTTTCTATTTTATCCGTGCTGAAAATTATTTTTAATTCAATTCGATTCAATTAATTAATTAATTATTAATTAATTTGAATAAATTAGGAATAAACAAATATCTAAAGATTAATTTTTATTCTTACAGATTTACAGATACAAATTAGTATAAAAGGCAATTTCCCAGACTTGGAGATAAATGTCAAAAACGATTACTGGGGAACTGCATAAAAGATATAACGGATGGTTATCATCACCTGACATGGATCTTTATCTATTAACGTTATAAATATAACCCTTTATAACTTTACGTCCTCGTAATAGTTTGAAAAAAATGGATTCAGATGTTTATTCAGGTTCAATTAAACCACCTCGACAAGGAGCCGGGTTTCTTCTTCCCAAAATTGAACAAACACGAAAGTTAATCACGAAAATTCTGAGAGAGTTAAAGAAAAGGAAGAAACCTCCTTCACCTTTTAATGCTTACGTGGTTCGTACGGATAATTCCTTTGAAAATGATATTCATAATCCTCAAAATATTTTTAATACGGACGAAACCTGTGATTTATTAAGTCAATTAAAAGACGTGTTGGTGGTTTGTAACATACAAGGAATTAAATTTGCCGAAAAGTAATTATTATTTAATTTATTACTTATTTACTCAATAATTAAATAAATTTATTATTATTATAATTAAATAAATTTATTATTATTATTATAATTAAATAAATTTATTATTATTATAATTAAATAAATTTAATTATTATTATAATTAATTATTATTATACCTAATATAATTTTTGAAGGACACCAACACCATCAGAATCTCCAAATATATCTCGAGATGCATCACCGAATCAATCACGTTCAACGTCACCACTTCGTAAAAATCGAAATAAGAAAAAATCCAATTCCGGAATTCTTTATAAAATTTTAGAAGTTTTTTATGATATCGTACAAAATGATTGTCGATATAAAGTTCATAATCCTCGACCATTGAGACCACCCAATGCATTACATTTGATTGTTTTGGATGTCGCACATCTTTTAATTAATCAAAATTCATCTTCACCTAGTTGGTTATATGAAATTGGAATGACGATGATACCAGGATTTAATTGTTTTAGTGATGCCATGAGAGCCAGATTATTAAGATTTTATGGAGATTTTTTAATTCCACAATTGATGACATTTAAGTATCCTCCTATTATTAAAGATAAGAAAGAAAAGAAAGAAAGGAAAGAAAAGACAGAAAAGAAAGTAAAATTTAATTCTGCCACGAATAATAATAATAATAATACGACCAAGTTATTAGATGGTATTTATGTTAATTTAAATTAATTTATTTATTAATTATTTATTAAATTATTAATTTTTATCATTAATTAATTAATTATACAGATAAAATGAATTCATCACATATTAATATAACAATAAATCAAGATGACAATGATAATCTTAAACCATCAGTAGCAATTGAAATTCATTGGCCAGATTCAGATGGTTCTTCATTAACAGATATGGAATTATCAGAAGATGAATTAATTAAATATGGTAATAAAAGAAAAGGGAATAAAAATTCATCAAAACGATTATCAATTTCATATACAGGAGAATTTGATATTGATGCATATTATGTTGATTCATTATTTACACCATTATTATTTTCAATAATTCAATTTATAAGAATTGAAAATTCTTCATTGGAAACTTTACATCAAATGCATAAAACATTAGGAATTATGATACAACGAAAACCGGATCTTTACCTTGATATAATAGAAATTATAGCATTAGGGGATTCAAATTGTAGAAAACTTGCAATCAATATTTTATTTCATTTTTGGGAAAATAGTACTGGTCATCCAGCAATTGGTGAATCATTACCTACAATAAATTATTTTACTGATTTAAAAATAAAAGAAAGTAATGAAACTTTAGGAAATAATTATAATAATAATAATATTAATAATTATTATAATAATAATAATAATAATAATTATAATAATAATAATAATAATAATAATAATAATAATAATAATAATAATAATAATATAATTAATTATAATAATAGTATAACTAATAATAATAATCAGAATCCTAATTATAATCATAATATAAGTAATAATAATCAGAATCCTAATAATAATCATAATATGAATAATAATAATAATAATAATAATAATAATAATAATAATAATAATAATAATAATAATAATAATAATAATAATAATAATTATAAAATTAATTCTAAAGAAGTTCATATTCATAGTTTTTTTTCACATATATTTTTAAATCATAATAATTCGGATTGGGAAAAAAAAGAAGAAAAGGATAATCATTCATCAATAATCATGATTGATAAACATGAACAATTTTTACCAACCGATATTCCAAATGCTTGTGTTCAATGTTTTAAATCAATTATTGGATTTGGTATAAGATGTAGTGGATGTAAATTAAATTTACATTTCGAATGTTATAATTTAGATGAAGGAGGATTTTTAGCGGAATATTCATTAATTGAATCTGGAGTTCATAAGTTATCAACCCCTAGGTATTGTAACGTTAAACATGGACCCAGGGAATTAATTTCAATAAATCAAAATGTTGATTCAAAACTTCCAATAATTTCAAAATTTATAGCCAATCATAAATTTAGATTTATTAATTTATTCACTTTAACCTTATGTATGATTTGTCGATTACCATTATGGGGAATTATGTATCAAGGTTATAGATGTGAAATTTGTAATAGATTTATTCATTCCTCATGTTTAAATTTAGTGGAAAAAGAAATTGATTGTCAACAATCAATCTTAAGTGAAAATGATGCATTAATTAATCATGAAATTTTAAGGGAAAGTTTTAAAAATTATTATAAACAAATATTAATTCCGGAAGAGAAGATCATCAATTATACATATGAAGAATTATCAGTTATGGTAACAATTTTACAAATGCAAAATAATTTATTAAATAATGGAATAATGGCTGGATGTTTAATAGTTAAACAAAAATTTCATAATCCTTTATCACCAAGAAATGAAAAATTTAAAAAATTCGAATTACAAGAATTTATTGAAATTTATGAAACATATCTTAGAAGTGGAAAAATATCATTAACGACAATATCCGAAGAATATTGGGAAAGTGTTGGAAAGAAATATAATCCATGGATTATTTCATGTGAAGATTATCTTGCTCATATATCCGCAGCAATTAAATCCAGAATTGATTTTGATTATTTTAATAACAATGATCATTTAAGTGTAAATGGTAATCATCTAGATGATAATAAAAGTTTTCTAGATGATAATAATAATAATAATAATAATAATTCATCATCATCAGATGGAATTCTAACTTCAATAGAATTAATTCAATGGATGAAGAAAAATTTAGGAATGCTTAATGAATATTCAATCAAAATATTTTTACAACAAATGTCTAATCATGGATTTTTAGAACGAATTGATGGAAATCCAATATTATTTCCTTCTGATGATAATAATAATCATGATGAGAATTCAGAGAATTTAGAAAATTTAGAATATTCTTTTCCATTACCATTCGCTACAGAATGTTCACCAACTGTAGAAGCTTTAATTACATCAATTTCTGCTTGTTTATCAGATATTAATATATCAATTAATGAATGTGGATTTCTTTTAATGACAAGAAGATGTTGGCCGGATCCTTATATATCGAAATATGTATTAGAAAGATTAATTTATTCCATTATTGAATGGATTTGTAATGAGGATGATAAATTATTAATAATTGCTAGAGAATATACTTCTGCTCAAATTAAACTTCCTGGAGTTAGAGATGAAATGGAAAACGTCGGTGCTGGTGTCGGTGTCGGTGGTAAAGCAGGAAGTAGTGGGGGTGGGGCTTATTTGATAAGTCGTCGAATGCTAAAAGAAAAATATGTCATAAATTGGTTATTAACAATTCATGATATGGATGAAGAATTATTTTGTAATATAATATTTGAACAAATTGGAAGAATGTATGAAAATCAACGTCAACAAGAAGAGCTTGATGACGATGATAATAATTTGGTAGGAATTTATATTATTAGATAGATAGATAAATAGATAGATAAATAGATAGATATTGATTGATATATATATATATATGTATATATTTAATGTTGTATTTTAACATGCCTATATTTTTAATGTTATATATATTTATTTTTTTTTTTATTGAATTTTTTTAGGAGAATGTATTTCATAATCATGATCGTGTACTAAGATGTATTATAAAATTATATAATTCAGATTTGTTATTTTCTTCTTACAATCATATATTATCACGTTGGTTAGACGAAGCTTGTGTTATATTAAGAGATCAATCAAAGGTATTTTTAATTTCCAATTTTTTTAATACATTATTGTTATTATTATTGTTAATTTATGTATTTTTTTTTTTAGGTTTTCGTGGAATTCAAAACATTATATAAAATGTTTAGTTCCATAAAAACAATTTCTCGACAAAGAACTGCATCTATAGTGGATCACATGGCAATATCCACTGAAATTAATAATAAGATTAATATTATGGATCCAATTGAAATTATTACTCGGCTTTTTGTGGAAAATGATTTTGAAAAATTATCAAGAGCTTTACATTGGATTGAATTGATGGTTCGATCAAGGTATTCTTTATTCTTTTTTTTTTGATATTATTTAATATCTTTAATATTCCTTAATATTTTTTTTAATATAATTTTTTAAATATCTTTAATATATAATATATTTATAGTATCGGACTTAATGGTTCAGTTTTTTCTGAATATTGTTCACACTTGTCCAATATTTCTTTATCCCTTGAACAATCTATAACATTTTTACAATCCATGTGGTATCAGGTGATAATTGGATTGGGACATTTAATTACTCGTGGAATTATATTGGAAATTGTATCTAATTTAAATGAATTAAATTTTGAAATCATTAAAAAAATTAATGATGAAGGTTATGAAATAGAAATCGAGAGGTAATGTAATTAAATATTATATTTTATATTATCGTTATATTTTATATTATTATTATTATTATTATTATTTATATTATATTATTATAATTTTTAGTGCACGTAATTTTATCAAGATTTCTCTGGTCTTGGCTTTATATGCATATAGTTGTCCACTTGATGGTATTCATAAACTTGGTATCGTGGAACTTCCTCGTGAGCGTCCATCGGAACATAAGTAATAATAATTAACATATCTTAAATTATAAAAATATTAAGAACAATATTAAGATATGTTTTCTATATAAAATGTAGTGTGCCAAAAAGAATTTCCAATATTCCTGATCCAACTCAAGGTGCTAATATAACTGCTGAAACACCTTTAATGAAATGTTTATTATCATATGCAAGATTTGATAAATTAGATGTTCGTGGAGATGTGATCAAAGCGTTTTGGCAATTTTTCATTTCGGCTGGTCTTATTTTTAATAGAAATGAATTTATTATTAGTAGTATACCAATGTTATTACCAAGGTATAAATTATCTTTATTATATTTTGTTTATATTTTATTGGATTATTATTATTATTATTATTATTTCTTTATATAATTATTGTTATATTCATTATTGTTACTAGCGTCTGGGAAGGACTCGCTCCTATACATGATCCATTATCTACTATATCGATGCCTTTATTAATAAGGATGGTATGGGCGGATTCACGTTTCTTTCTTGCATCCGTTAGTAAAGTATTTGAACATGAAAGTTGGGAAGTTAGGTAAAAAATGATAAAAACTAAATTAAAATCAAATAACTTTTATAAATTCTTATATTTCATATTTCATATTCTTATTCATGTTTCTGTTTAATTTTTAATTTATTTTTTTATTGTTGTTAGATTTGATGGTCTTGATAATTTATTTGGTCTATTTTCAAAACTTGATGAAAAATATGATGTTCAAAGAGCTGGTGTATTTGCTTATTTAGGACCAGTTTTTAGTTATTTGGTTGATTGTTTATGGGATAAAGAGGTACGCGGGACAAAAAAAAAAACATTGTTCTTATTATTATTTTTATTTTGTTAACATAAATTTCTTTCCTCCTCTCCTTAACAACTTATTTTAGGAATTTGTAAGAACCAAAGCTATAACTTACATCAGATCCATGCAACCTCAACATGTTCGTTTAGCATTTAAATGTTGGGAAGGATACTTTAGAGTATCTTCTAATCGGGAGAAAACATTATTATGTCGATTAATGATAAAGTTAAATGAGAAATTTCCTAATTGGCAAGGTATTTTTTTTAAAAAAAAAAAATTATTATATTTATTATATTATAATTATAATTATATTTTATATTATTTTTTTAGTCATTCAATGGGATCCTTTGTTGGATGCATTATCTCAAGAAATTGAAGAAGAAGAAATGGCAGCAACAACCGAAATTTTGGTAAATCCAATATAATCCAATACAATATTATCATTATTTAATTAATTAATTATATAATAAATAATAATAAATCAGAATAATAATTCCTCATAATAAATATTTTCATTAATTAATTTAAATAATAATAATAATAATAATAATTTTTTAGGAAAGTTACGTAAGACCGGATAGCGTTTTGGTAGTTGGACTTAAACATTTTCAAGAGGAAGAACCAATTAATCAAGCAACTGGACAAAAAATTGCCGAAAAACAAAATTTAAAAGTTACAATGTTAAATTTAGCACTTCAGATGTTAGCCAATGGAATTGAAATAAACAAAGAACAAATAATCAAATTAAAATTTGTGGTGGTATCAAATTTAGGATTTACTGATTGTAAATTAGAAATTAATGATTTTGGAATTGGTGGTGGTGGTAGTGGTGGTGTAGGTGGTGGTGGTGCGATCGGGGGTGCAAATAATGCAAGTGGTGGCGGTGGTAGTGGTGGCGCAGGAGGAAGTGGAGGAGGAAATGGAACATTTAATTTATCATATGGTGAATTAGAATATTCACCAGATGATTTTATTCAAAATATGATGATGATATCTTGTTTGGGAAATCTTAAAAAAGTACTTGATAGACCAATTTATCTTAGGAATTCAAATAAAACTAATAATCATATAAATACAGAAGAAATTGATTTAGAAGATGAATTGGCAGGAGGATATTTTGTTGATGTAATATTTTCTTTAATTAATTCTTCTGTGGATATGTCAAAATTAAGTCATCTCATGTTTAAAATTTGGATCGAATTATTGCTTATTGTCATATATAAGGTAAATCCATTTTATATTCTACATATTATATATTTTATATATTTTATATTCTATATTATATATATATATATATATTTATATATTTTATTTACATATATCCCGAAATAGTAATTTAATTTTGATTGTTATTATTAGCACAAAATAGAAGATCGACGTAATAGAGATTTTGAAGAAACATTAGCTAACGCGATGAGAAAAATTTCGGAATTATTATTGGAAGATAATATAACGGAAGAGAATAAACAATTAACTATTGAATTAGCTACATCATTATTAAAAAGGGCACCAATGTTAACAGTTAATATACTTGGGAAGCAAATTGTTACTCTTGGAAAACTTTTAACTCGACTTGGAAATAATGTTGATACAAATAATGGCTCATTGGCGATGAGTGCAAAAACATTTTTAAGATCGGCGTTTCTTAAATTTGCGAGGAATGGTTTATTTGTCTTGATTTTTAAAGTACGTAACAAATAACAAACATTATTATTAATTAATTAATTAATTACATTCCTCCCTTCTCATTACTTACTACTACTTACTGGAAGGCTAACACTCAATGATTTTAATTTTCGTTATTTTAGAATCAAACAGTGGCCGAAGAAAATAAGTCAAGTCTTGATATGTTTAAAGTTCTTCGAGATGTAATAAGGGATGAACAAATTCCAAATGAAGATGAATCCCAAGAACCAACTTATTTACGTGATGAACCAATTCGTGATGTATTTAATCAATTATTTAAATTTACAAATCGAAAAATCGTTTCAACCATTTTATGTAATTTAAATAAATATGTCGAAAAAGTTTATTCAAAACCTTATAACGAACAATTGATATTTGGTAAGATGAATGAATAATGAATTGTTTATATATTCGATAAAACTTATATTTAAATATTTTTTATTTTTTATTTTATTTTTGTACAGATTTGGGACAATTTTTAATTAAATTGACTAAACATACAAGTGAATGGAAGACAGCAGAATGGGATATAAATCCAGTTATTAATATGGGTTCAATAGTGATGATAGAAAATCCAATTCATGCAAAAGTATTATTTAATCATTTCTTTAATTATTATTATTATTATTATTATTATTATTATTATTATTATTATTATTATTATTATTATTATTATTATTATTAT